GGCACAGAGGTGAGACTGACTGGCCTGTAGTTCCCTGGGTCTTTTTTTTTTCCCTTTTTAAAGATGGGGGCTATGTTTCCCCTTTTCCAATCAGCAGGATCTTCACCAGACTGCCATGACTTCTCAAACAGGGTGGATAGCGGCTTAGCAACTTCATCAGCCAGTTCCCTCAGGACCCACAGATGCACTTCATCAGGTCCCATGGACTTGTCCACCTTCAGGTTCTTTAGATGGTCTCGAACCTGATCTTCTCCTACAGTGGGCGGTTCTTCATCCTCGCAGTCCCTGCCTTTGCCTTCTGTGACTTGGGCTGTGCAGCTGGAGCTCTTGCCAGTGAAGACTGAGGCAAAGAAGTCATTGAGAACCTCAGCCTTCTCCATATCCCGGGTAGCCAGGTCCCCCGTTTCCTTCTGGAGAGGGCCTGTGTTTTCCCTAGATCTCTTTTTATCACTGACATATCTCTAGAAGCTTTTCTTGTTGTCCTTGATGTCCCTGGCCAGTTTTAACTCTATGAGGGCTTTAGCTTTCCTAACGTGATCTCTGGTTACTCAGACAATTTCTTTGTATTGTTCCCAGGCTACCTGTCCTTGCTTCCACCCCCTATAGGCCTTCTTTTTGTGTCCAAGTTTGTCCATGTTCATCCATGCAGGCCTCCTGGTGTTCCTACCTGACTTCCTCTTTGTTGGGATGCACTGCTCCTGAGCTGATCCTTGAATATTATCCAACTTTCTTGGGCCCTTCTTCCCTCCAGGGCTTCATCCGTTGTACTCTACCAAGGCGATCCCTGGAGAGGCCAAAGTCTGCTCTCCTGAAATCCAGGGTAGTCAGCTTGCTGTGCACCCTCCTTGCTTCCCTAAGAATCTTGAACTCCACCATTTCATGATCACTATAGCCAAGGCTGTCCTTGAGTGTCACGTTCCCCACCGGCCCCTCTTTGTTGGTGAGAACAAGGTCCAGCAAAGCACCTCTCCTCGTTGGTTCCTCTACCACTTGGAGAAAAAAGTTCTGTTAGGGTAAAATTCTGCTGTGTGGTTTTTAATCTGTGTTCAGTGCTGATGCAGCTATAATAGAACTGTAACAGGAACTCTTTTTAAGTGTGCAATTTTCATTCATTATTTCCATAGCACTTTATAGCCTCTTGTTATCCAACATGTAATTAGAAGTTAAATCCATTAAACATATCTGAAGGCACTCTATCAAGTCACTTGGATTTTTGCCCTAGACATGCGTAGTTTTAGTTTGAAATGATGTGCTCTGTCCTTAAGTGCTTCCTGCAGTAAAGTTCGATCTAAAAATTAAAATGAATGTTTATAGTCATATAACTGTTATATTAAAGGGACTAATGATAGTCTAATAGTTGAAAGAAGCTCTACCAGCCTGGGTTTCCATGGCCGGAGAGGTTATATACTAAATACTGGGTTTAACTGAAAGTCTCCTGAATAGTTTAGTCTGCCAGTTAACATTTTCTGTTCTTCCTCAGATATCTGTCATCCTCGGGAGAAATTTTATTTGAAAGCATGATTCTGAGAAAAGTTAGGATCATGCTGAACATCCTCTGGAATTATTTCCTTAATCTAGGTTTTTATAATAGGAAGAAAAATGTTGATCTGATTATAAAACATACTCTATGCCAGTGACAGGTTGTAGTTTTTGTTCAGAGGAGTTTTTAGCTTGCAGTTCTCTCTGAGGAACGGTTTCTGTGCTGGGAGTTTGGTTTGGTTTCCAAATTCATTTAAGAAGAGGCTTGTCACAACCTTTTATCTTCAATACAGTGTCTGGTTATTTTTTTTGTGGAAATATTACAGTTTTGGACAACCACTTCCTCAGATATAATGCTTGAAAAATTGAGAAGTGTCTCTGTTATTC